AATAAAGTAATGTTGCTTACCACTATTTATGATTGCAGCTGAAAATATTATAATATAGGATAAGGTAAACCCTAAATTAACTAATAAATTAAATTATGCTATATATCAATTGTTATTTGAGATTGAACACCGCTTATATTAATTTTATTTATTATCTTTTTCATATTATAAGTTCTAATTGTTAGATTTGCCTGAAAGTGAGGATGGATATAAATACATTGCTGTCGCAGTTGATTACTTCAGCAAGTATATTGTAGCCATGTCCTTAAAAGATAAAATAGAGACATCAGTATCGTGTTTCCAAAGTATGATAAATTTGATAATATAATATTAATATTATATTTTAGATTCAAATTAATGATCAAGGAAGTGACTTTGTGAATGAACAATAATTATCACAAACTGTGCTCATCACCCTCAAGCAAATGGCATGTTTGAAAGAATGAATAGGAACATCAGAAATGTACTTCTATATGATCAATTAGTTTGTAAAGATGCCTTGTCTAGCACTAGCATACTATAACACGCCTCATCATGAATCATCGAAATTTACACTTAATGGGTGGATGTATCGCAGAAAAGTGAAAAATAAGTTTATGGGGTATGATTTATTTTTTTCTCTTTTAGCTTTCACCTTTTATGGTGGTAAGCTCCTTCAATATCTTTCCACTTTTTGTTATTCATACTATCTCGTTTATCTAATTTATACTTCTTCATATTGGATCTAACTTTATGGCCCCATTGAAGTTTTGGCCTTCCTCTACGTTTACCCATCACTTCCAAACTCTCAACCTTATTTCCTATGTATTTAGCTCATAGGCCTTCTCATTGTATGCCCATACCACCTAAGTCTGTTAGTCTTAATGGGTACTACTACTACCTTTAAATTTCCTAGTATTCTTGTACTTCGCAACTTATCCTTTCTTGTTACCCCAGCAATCATCCTCAGCATTCTCATCTCCATAATTTGTAGACTTCTCTCGTCTGATTCTTTGGTTGGCCATGTTTCCGAACTATATAGTATAGTTGGTTGTACTATAGAACTGTTAATTTTTCTCTTCAATTTGTGTGGGATTCTTTTGTCAAAGAGCACTACAGATAAAGATCTCCCACTTACCACCCTTGATTAATTTTACTCTTTATCCCTTTCTCTATTGTGCTGTTTGTTTGTATAGTGGAGCCCAAATATTTGCAGCTTGCAATTGCCGATATCTGCCATTCAATTATATCAATGCTCTCTATTTCATCTCCTCCTATCACCATATACTCCGTCTTTTCTCTATTTACTTTAGGTCCGTGCTTTTCTAGGATTTATCCAGCTCACTAATCTTTCTTTCATTCCATCCTTGGATTCGGCAAGTATCACAATATCTGCAAATATCATATTCCACGGGACTGTTTGTGGTATAGATTATGCTAATACATCTATAATTGTTATGAAGAGAAGTGGGCTGAGAGTAGACCCTTGATGAACTCCCTCAGCTATTGTGAAGCCTATTGAAATACCAGTTGTGCTACGGACCATTGTTGTTTGGCCCATATACATATCCTGTATTATTCTTATATATTTTTCGGGAACCTTTTTGTGGTGTAGCGCCCACCAGATAAGTTTTCTTGAGATTCTATCGAAGGCCTTTTCTAGATCGAGAAATACCATATATAGCTTTTTGTTCTTTTCCCTGTATTTTTCACTCATTTGCCTAATTGCGTGGATAGCATCAGTTGTTGATCTGTTGATCTTCCAGGCATAAAGTCAAACTGAGTCTCTATGTCTCTTAACCTTTTTTCTATTATTTTTTCGTAGAGTTAAAGACAGTGTGACATTAGTTTTATGCCCCTGTAATTTTGACAATTGTGTGCATCCCCTTTATTTTGGAAGATAGGAACTAGATAGCTCTTCCTCCATTTTTGAGGGATCTCTTCATTTCCCAGTATTTTATTGTAAAGATTTGTGAGGAGATGTATGCCATCACCTCCTAGTACTTTAAGGCTTTCTATTGGAATATCACCTGGACCCCTAGCTTTGTTGTTTTACATATGCTTGAGGCATGTGATTATTTCTTGTTCTGTTATTGGTTGTACAAGGTTTTGACATGGGGAGTATTCATCTAGATGTAGTATGTGGGGATTAAAGTTGAGAAGCTCCTGAAAATATTTTTTCCATCTATTCATTATTTCTTTTTCCTTTACTATCAATTTCCCATCTTTATTTTTGATTATTTTCGGAGCTCCGTTTATATCCCTAGAATTCTTTTCTCGCTGTTTGGCTAATCTGTATATTTTATTTTGCCCTTCTTTGGTATGTAGTTCTTCATACATGTCATCGTATGCCATAGCTTTGGCCCTAGCCACAGCCTTTGTAGCTATTCTCTTGGATTTTTTGTAATTTGTCTTGTCAACTGGGTTTTTGGATTTGTACCATATTTTATATAGGGCTTTTTTATCCTTCTAGTGGTTCGTATCTCTTCATTCCGCCACCATAGTTCTTTGTATGATTTGTTGCCTCCCCTTGTCAAGCCTAGTGTCGATTTGGCAGTGTATTTGGATGAAGGGTCTGTCCACATTTTTTCACTGACTTGTGAGGAATCTATTGTTTCAATGTTTGCAATGATTGCAAAGACATCTGTCATTGTTTTTAATTTACCGCATTTGATGCATGGTTCAAGTTTTATCATATTTTGAGCGGATTTATTTGAGATGTGTAAATCCATGACTAGTAGCTTGTGTTGTGCGGCAATATCTTCTCCTGGGATGACTTTGCAGTCTATTACATCTTTTAATCTTCTGCGAGAGATAAGCATGTAATCTATCTGGGTTTGCCTTCTGTAGCTATCTCTTGCTTTTCCCACATGCGCATTTAAGTCACCACCTATTATGACTAGGTCATCCTTAGGGATTTCCATTATAGCTTCCTCAAGGATAGCTCTAAAATCATCTTTCTCTTCTTCCTTGCAACCCGTTTGAGGAGCATATACTGAAAGGATGTGTAGTATTGATTGACCAATGCAGTTTTATCTTCATTAGTCTATCAGAGATCCTGTTGACTTCTACTATTGAGATTAGATCTTGACTGAGGATGATGCCGACACCGTTCCTATTGCTAACAATTCCATTATACAATTTATACCCATCTCCAATCATTAAAGTCCTGGCCTTTCCAATTCGTCTCTTGAATGAAAAGGGAATTCGATGCATTCCTTTAAATGATTGAATTTGTAATTGATTTATATTGTGCAATATTTTATTTACAAAGAATAAATAAATAATAAATGGTTTTTTTTATTTTGGTGTTTCGAATTGATCATAAAAAATTCTAAACAAATAAGAATTATCTGAAAACCCTAAATTCGAGTTTTCGCTCATGTTTATTTAAGAAATCATTCAAATTTCTTATCCTGATTTCCATTCTTTGGATAACTAAAAGTAAAATTAAAATATTGGAATAATTCTTTAAATTTAAAAAAGGTATTGTAAAAATCTTAGAAAATTTTTTTTATATAATATCTTTTAAAATTCTTATTTTTCCACTTAAACTTATGTCCAAAACATAAAAAAACTATATTCGATTCATAACTTTGACGTTAGTCTTCATTAAAGTTTAAGAACTTTATATAAAAAAAATTTTGAATACTCATTTTTCCACTTAAACTTAAAAAACTATTTGATTCATAACTTTGATGTTAGTCTTCATTAAAGTTTAAAAACTTTTAAAAATTTTAATTATCAAAATGTTTTTTACAATAATTATGGAAAGTTATTTAACTATATAAGAATGTTTTTTCACATTATGAAAATGTGTTACAACAAATCATATTATTACTGTATTTATATTGCATATTTTATAAATTTATTTTTCTAATCTTTATATTTACAAATAAATTTTATATAAAAATTAAATAAAATATTACATACAAGATAAACATTATTTTTTATAAATATAAAATGATATAAACGTATTGTCCATTTTTTTTCTTTTTGGTAAAATATAATTAATGTGCTTATAAATTGTTTAAAAAATGTTAATAACATGTTATTTCTAACCTTAAGTTGTTACATGATAATAAATAAAGCAAGTAGTTATCTTACCTATATTTTAAAACTGTTTTATCTCACATTTCTATATTAGGCTTTGACATTTTTATAATACAAAAATTTGTGAAGAGAATAAAAGAATTTAGGCCGCATTCATAGTGGGATCCGATCCGACACGATTTAACAGGATTGATTTATAAAATTTATTTATGAGATCAATTTTTTTTAGTAATATTAATTTTATCTTTAATTCTATACATCATAATAACCTAAGAAATATTGGTTTTAATAAAGAAAAATTGATTCTCATAAACCGATTTAAATATCGATCAGTTAAATCGTGTCGGATCCCACTATGAATGCGGCCTAACGTAAAATTGCCTTAAATATCAGTATAACAATAGAAAATATAATATTTAATCTTTATATGTCAGTCATAAACGCCAATATCACTTAAAATATAAAATTTAATTCCTACAAGTCAGTTATAATGTTAATATCGCTGTCTGTCATAAATGATATCATTAAGAATAATATTAAATCCTAGCAAGTCAGTCAAAAATATCAACATCACTAAATGTAAATTTATTTAATTAAAAAGTTACACCGGCCCACAAAAATTTTCATCGCTTTTTATGCTCGGCCCGTAAAATTAATTTTTCATTTTTCCTACTTTTAAATATTTATTTCAAATTCATCATAGCGATGTAAATCGTTTCATCGCATTGCTCAGTTATCGTACATTTTAAATTACGCAGCGATGAATCACCTTGTATTCAAAGTTAGATCGAATTCGCGGCGCAAAGTTAAGCGAATCGCGCTAACTATAAACGACGCCTTAGATCTGGCCCGAAAATCTTTTTGCTCTCAGGCCGGCAAGACTCATGGGATAGAGTCTGGTTAATTTTTTATACTACCCTTTATATATTTTAAAAATTAAGTTAATCCAAAATATTTTTAGTAATTACCTTTGATTTTATAAGAACGGATTTGTTATTCCCCAAAACTTTGCGAAGTCAACAATGAGATGCTAAGGTGTTAACAATTATTTATTTGAAATTTCGAATCGTTTAAAGCGAAAGCTTGTTTCGATAGAATCAGGTATTTCTATTTATTTATTAAAAATGTATCCGTGTTTGTTTGATTTTTTGCAAGATTTGAGATTTCTAAGAGAAGAATAATATTTTTAAAAAATTAATATACATTTTATAAGGTATACAAATAAATGTAAATTTGATAAATAATGAAAATTGGTCAAGAAGATGGGCGATATAGAAAAATTTTCGGATTTTTTAAAATAAAAAATGAAAAGTAGTGAAAGGCGAATTTTAAGAATATAGCCCAACAATTTTTTTTGCAACCAAAAAAAATCCCCTCCTCCCCTCAATCGATAATATATGGATGAATAATAAATAAATAGAAGGGTTAGTTTTTAAAAATAAATATATATCCCTCTGTCTTTATGTTAGACAAGATTAAACATTATCGCGTATGTTATCCCCCCCCCTATCCCCATATTAATAAATAAATCAATACAAAATCCGTACTATAATATTGATTATAATATTTAAAAAATTCTTCAACTTTTTTATTTCTTTTCTTCTATCAATTTTATTTTGAAAAATTTTATAACTTATCGATCGATATAATATCAAAAAGGAAAACGGCAAATCCTTCCCCCCTTTTCCTTATTTAATCAGTTGCAAAATCATAAAATGGACCATTTAACTAAAAGGCTCAATTTGAGCCGATTTTTAAAAACGGCTATCTCAATATTTTAGCTAGAAAAATATAGCCTAAGCCTCGAGATTTCGCTAGTTGATGTCTAGACCATTATGCCATCTATGAGCAAAATCTTCAGACTTGCGTAATATTATTCTGGGTAAAATATTGAGTCAGCCGTTTTTAAAAATCGGCTCAAATAGCCGTTTAACAACACTACGTTTAACATTCATTCACTGCTTCATATTTATCAATTTTCCCTTTTAAATAATGTTTATTATTAAAAATATTCAAATTTTATTAATTGTAAAAAAAAATAAGTCCGGGGAGATAAAATTATAAAAATCGGAATCATGCTTAAAAAGGAATCCCGAACAAAGTAATTCTAATGCCAATGACTTCTTAGAACCAGAAACCCGTCAAAATCTTTGCGGGGGAACTTATCGCGTATATAAATTTTATATAAAAATATCGAGTAAGGGTCCATTATAACCCTCCCACCCTTGTGGGAATTTACAGTGACTTCGGTTAGGATGAAAACGTTGGTTAGGATTGAATATAATATATTCATTATGTTGTTAAATGGCTGCATTAAAAAAGATGGCCAACAGATTTATTCTTACACATAATAGACTATTGGCACTTTTTAATGCGGATTGCTTAGATTTGAAAGAACCCCGGTAACTAGAAAAAAAATTTTTTTATAGATCGAATAAAAAACGGATGGAATGGAAATAAAATATATAAAATAAATAAATGAATAAACAGACGCAAAAAAATATTGAATTTTATTTTTTAATTATCCTTTTCACGTTTTCATTTGCCTTTTTTTTCTCGCAATGAAAAAACACGAAAAAAGAAGGTTATTTATTTCTATATAATTTTGTTATTTTTTATGAATACTTTTAATATTTTAATTTAAGTATATTTAAAAAATTTCTCACTCTCTTGTTAAAAAAAAATTTAACAATTGCATGCTCAGATATAGGTTTCTTCGATCTTTACATTCCTTATATTCTTTTCTTTTTTTATCTTTTTAATTTTACTTGATTTGTTTTTTTCTATAGGATAGGTTTTATTTTTAGTTGAAACAAGGTGCGTGGATTAGGGGTGGGAAATTTTGATGGGTTGAACTAAAAAAAATGAAAATTATCGAAAGCTCTGCCTTTTTTAATTAGGAATATCTACATTAGAAAAATAAATGGTAAATCCCTAAAAAGAACAAATTTAGGATAAACATTTCGTAGTCCCTTTTTTCTATTGGAGGTTGGTATAACTAAAATAAAATTTCAATAATGTGAATAATGAAAAAGATTATTATTGGAATTATAGATGTTTTATAATTCAATCGAATAATTCAAAATTATACGAAAATAAAATTTTTCGTAATACTTAAAATCAGGGATTCGAACCGAACCCGAACCCGGAGAAGTGAACCCGGGTTTTTAGAAAAAAACTCTGAACCCGAACCGAACCTGAACCCCATTTATAAAATTTCCAAAACCCCGAACCGAACCCAAGAATTTTATTTGAACCCGGGTTCAATCGGGTTCAGTGTTTTATTTAAAATCATATATTAATATATGTAAATACAAATATTATATTTTCAAATTTCCAATTAAATGAAGTCTTAATAAATTTTAAACAATTTAATTCATTTATGCCATTTTTAAATTTATTCTCGATTCCTATTGGAGTGTTAAAAAATTTTAAACAATTGAATTAATTTACGCCATTTATTTTTAAATTTTTATCTTATTATTCTTAAAGATTATTAATTAGAAGAAAATGGTTAACAAATCAAAGTAAAAATTATTATATTGTTAATTTAAAAAATTCTAAACATCTAACTTAAAAATTGTTAAATGTAGGGCAGTTTTTGTGAACTTATTAAAATGATTTTAAAATTTATATATGCTAATCATTTATTTTTGGTTCAGTTTAATTTTTACAAGATATTAATGAAGTGCATATTATAAATGAAATTAAATTTATAAATATCTCTTTTTTAATTCTGAAATCATTGCTATTTAAAAAAATTGTTTTCTTTTTATAGATTTAAGATTAAAGATAAAGTCATATTTGATAAGCATTTTACCCTTAATAAAATAGAAAAAAAAATCAATATGTTCATATTGCAAAGTAAAAATGTCTGGTAATCACTTGTCAAATTTAGAAAGACACCTGGAAAAAAATCACAACAATGAATATTTAAATTATTTAAATGAAAAAACCAAATATCAGGAATTGTTATTGGCAAAAAAACCTAAAATTAATATAGAAACCTTTTTTCCAAAAAAGCATATAAGTATAAATATATCATCTAATGATTTGATGAGTTCTATATTAGAACTTGTTACTGTAAATGGCCGGCCTTTATCAATTATTGAAGATTCGGGATTTCAAAGAATTATAAATCCACTCCTATCTGGGCTCAATTTAGTTATAAACAAAGAAAATTTATCCAGAACTATTAATAAAACAGCCCAATCAATTAGAGACAAAATATCGAGAGAGGTAGAAGGAAAATTAATAAGTTTAAAAGTTGATGCAGTTCAACGACTAGATAGGTCAATTCTTGGTGTAAATATTCAATTTATATCAAAGTCCATTATAAATTTGAGGCTCTTGGAATTGTAGAGCTGAAAGAGAGATGTACAGGAGAATATATAAAAGAGAATATATTAAAAACTTTACTAAAATTTAAAATTAATATTCAACAAATACACAATTACTTCTGATAATGGTTGTAATTTTTTAAGAGCTATAAAGCTCCTGCAACCTGAAACTGATTATGATATAAGGAGTGAATCAGCAGATGAGGAAAATATGGATGTAAATGTATATAAATATGATATTGATGATATACAAAATACTTTTTTATCAACTATTATATCCTATCCGATTTATAGTGTACGGTGTGCACACACTTCAGCTGGCACTTCAAGATGCTATAAAATTATCACCTATTGTGGAAACCATTGCAAAAGCTAGGAGCCTAAATTTAAAATTAAGACATCCCACTTACCAAAAGTTATTAAAAAATATGAAACTCCCAAGCCTGTGTTAGATTGCCATAGATGGCATTCAACCCATGATATGTTAGAAAGGCTGATTTTACTAAAATCCAATATCGAAGATTTTTTTACAGAGCAATCTGATTATTTATTGACTGAAGATGGGAAAGAGATAATAACGATTGTTGAAATTTTAAAACCGCTAAAAATCGCAACCAAACAATTCCAATCTGAACAGTTAACACTGACAGATTTTTATGCAGCATGGTTAAGATGCTGCATCGAACTGGAAAAAAATCCAAACCATTTTGCTCAATTACTATATTCTTGTCTTAAGAACAGAGAAGAAAGGTTTATAAAGAACGAAATTCTCTTAGCTGCCATATACCTGGGCCCAAGATACAAGGTTAATTAAAAGCTTAGTAAATTAATTATTTTAGATTTATATTAAAATTGTTATTTTATGAAATATTTAAATATAAACAATATAAATCCTTAAATATTACAGGTATTACTTAGTGATGATGATAAGGTTTGTGCGAAAAAACATCTTGTCAATTTATGGAGACGAATTAAAAGCTTAACAACGCCAATTTTATCTGATGATATTAGTTCCGATGAAGTTATTGAACAAGAAGATGATTTAGAGAAATTGATATAACTTAAAGAAAGGCAGGAGAAAATACTTAAAAGAGGGCCAACGATTGCTGAGAAAAGTATTGAAACAATAATTACTAGATTTAGCGATTATATAAGATTAGATAAGAAGGAAAATATTTTGCATTTTTGGGAGTCTGCTAAGCTGGAACACCCTGAATTATATATTTTATCTAAAATCTTATTTGCTGTTCCTGCAACCCAAGTTAATTTTTCATATTTTCACATATAAATACATTTAACATAGGTTAGCGTTGAAAGATCTTTTTCACATTTGAAATTCATTCTTTCACCACATAGATCGAGGATGAGTGAACAACTCTTGGAAGATATTATGCTAATACGTCTAAATAAAATTTTTAAAATTGATACATGACTATATGCTTTGTATTTTTAACTATATTTGCCTATAAATAAAATAAAAAATTTATTTTTTATATCAAATTTATGTCTAGTTTTTTATTATGATTTAAATATAGAATTTTTTTTATCAACTCAAAAATTCTTGAACCCGAACCGAACCCGAACCAAACCCGGGTTCAAAAATATTTCCCTGAACCGAACCCGAACCGAACCCAACTTTTTTTTTATACCCCGAACCGAACCCGAACCGAACCCGGTCTAAAATTTTGTCGGGTTCGCATCCCTGCTTAAAATTATATGTATTTGATATCGCCACTTTCCCACCCGATTGGTATAAAGGAATTGTGTGTAGCCTAACAAAAAGAAATGAAAGTGAGAGATGTATAAACAAAACAT